CAGGTTCCATTTAGCAATCACCAAAGTTGTTGCCATGTTCAGTGTTACACAGAAGACTTTTAAAATGTAGAGTGCTACAAGAGTTAATATTATTTGTGTGTCCTGATTTGACAGCCCTGGAATTTAGTTTTCACAATGTTCCATTTTCACTCACAGAGCCTGCTGAGGCTCACAATGTCCAATGAAGTAATAGTACAAAGGGAAAATTATTGCAAAGTTCAATTCTGTAAGAGCATCTAACACTGTTGTGACAGTTCAATTTCTGCTATTGAAATTCTTTTAGAAGCTTGAAAAGAAAATGTGTGACTGGTTGGCCCATACATCCTACTGCAATTATTTAAAGAGCATGACAATTCTTAAGACTATTCCATACCAAAGCCTACAGATGCAGCATTTGACCAAAAATTGTCATTTGGGAAAGTTCTTAGAAGTTTCTAAATAAGTTCTATGGTGCATTTGTATTTTGGGTGCTACTTCTGCCACTTATTAAAAGGACCAAAAAAAGTACCACCAACCCTTGACAACCTGATAAAATTCATTATGATATGTACATATTCATGTAAGTGTGTAAACACAGATAAGCAGATACACACACAACTATACTTCTCTAGAAGTTTCGTATACTTTAACAAGACAATCAAACAAATTTATTTTTTTCCATTTTTTCTCTCTGTTGAGAGGCTACTTTCCCATTAAAAGTTTTTTTAATTCTCTAAATTAAAACAACTCAAAGCAGCCTTGGTGAGCTATTTCAAGTATAATGTGCTCCCTCATCACTATTAAAAAAGCACAGTAATTAAGTCCAACATGATCTCTAAACACATTCCCTACTGCCCAAAACTTCATTATTGTTCTTCACAGATATTGATGATTTTTTCCTTCTGTAACCTAAAGCACCAACACTAACTACTATTTAATGCCTCATAAAGTTATAACAAATCCCAATTGTCCAGTCTTCTAGCATGTGCCCACCTCAAGTAATCGGTCAGTCTAGAAAAACAAACAAATAAAAAACTGAAACACACAGGCACCAAAACCACCAAACCATGGCCATTCTCACTCACAAATGACATGGCATCTCCCAGAACAGTGTATACCCCCCACAGAACCTTCCGAATACTTTACAAAACACAAAATCACCAAGGATCTCTGAAACTACTTGCAGATGCCATCCCAAATTCTTGGGCTACAATGTGCTCTCTCCTCAGCCAGCATTGATGTCTGGGGCTTCACTATGTTTTCAGTGACCAGTCTGAAGCCACATCACCTCAACATGGAAAACATGAGAAATAAACATGTCTGGTCTCCACTGAATGAAAACAGACTGACTGAGAAAGCTCCCTGGCAGAGAACCAAAGAGCAGCTTTGGAAAAAAAAAAACAGAAAAACCAACATTATAGAGGGAATTTGCTCAGGTGCCTTCACTTACACACTACTCAGATCCTGCCAGGTCACCATGGCCCACAGAAACAAAGAAGCTACAAGACACTATTCCCTGTGCTTTTTAATTTCACATTACTTCCCATGAATATGATAATTCCATTTTAATGCCTCTTAAAAGACATAAAAGGAAATCTATTTATATCAGAAGGCCCAAGAAAACTGTGATTATGTCTCAAGGGAAAGTTTTGCAGTGTTTTTGGCTAGATATACCAAGTGAGAAGTTATATATTTTATAGATTAAAAAAGTCAAATCTAACGAGCAAGCTACTTGCTGATTTCAGAGACACATGAATTAGGAAGGGTATTTTTCATCTCTGGTTTCTAGTATTGGTAAGGATTTATTTAAAGTTTCACCAAGAAGCAAAATTCCCAATGAAGCATGTGATTTACACTTAAGAAGAGAGAGTAAAATAATAATGATCTGCTTCTGTAGAGTTTTCAGTATTAACAGACTTACTTTAACTGCAGTTTTACCTATTGCTTCATCCTTTCCAAATAAGATTCTCCAAGTGAAAAAAAAAGGTGTAATACTCCTCTAGGATCACATGTACAGTTCCATTAGTGAATAAAATTCAATATTCAATAAAGCAAGGGAGGAGATCAACATTTATATTATGTAAAATTATTTGGCTCTGGGACAAACAAGGCAAAACCTTCCCTAATTATATAATTATAGCACACATATTAGCAAGCAGTGACACAGCTTATGCAGGAACACAGTATGGGGTTGCTCCTTCACCCTTAATGATATAGACTGAAAGCAATATTTGGATCAGAACATCTCCATATATGAAAGTTTTTCCAAGTCAGAAGAAGACACACACAAAAGCCAGATTCCTCTCTCCCAGACAATTCCACATTCCAGCAGTTTACACTATTGCCAACACATGAGCACTACACACATCAAGTACAAAGTCACCCTCCTCCAGAACATACCTGCTGAGTGCAACCTAGATCTACTTTTCTTCTTACCTATGGTATGTTTACTATGAGTCTCAGGATGTCTCTCCAACACTGACTTCCTTTTTACCATTGTTTCCTTGGAATAACACAGGCTGCCACCACCACCAAACACAAGTAAATAAATCAAACTTACAACTTTTCAGCAGCAAATGTTTTGATAATGCAAGTCCTCAGTCCTGCCAATCAAAAAACAACACAGAAGAGGAGACTGAGAAGAAAAGCCTTTCCCAGATCTAGGCTGGGAAAAACTACCCCAGCCTGCCGCCTTAATCAGCAGCAATCACCAGTAACCTCTGGCACCTGAGCTTAAACCAAATGAGAAATGAAACACATTGTACTCCTTCACGACTTTTTAAACTGTGGTATTTTTTCTACATAATTTCTAGTTTCTAATCATCCCTAAAAATGTAGCCAAGCAGTTTCAGAGAGATAAAAACAACTCTTGCATACCCATTGAGACTTTACACAAAAAAAAAAAATTCAGTTTTGCTTTTGTGAAGAATATGATTCATAAGAAAATAAAAGACATTGTAGTGAGTGTTTTGTTAGTTTAAAAACAAATATGGAACATGAAACAGCAGATGTTTGGGCAAAGGAAAGAGCTAAGGCAATGCAATTGTTTCAAGTATGGCTAAGGCTATGGTCAGGCTGGGGTGATTACCAAATTATCATAAAAATTTACCTCTAACATTTAGGATTTCTCTTTCATATAAATTCAATATCATACATTCTAAGACAAAATTTGATCCACTATTGCTTAGTTAGGAGTAAATTACATTACTAATATTTTATCAATACATTGCATTACATTATAATCATATATACATTTTTTTCTTCTTATTTTAGAATACATCAAAAAATCCCAGATAATAGCCATATCTACTAAAAGAGAAAAGGAAGCAAGATTGTAATTAAGAGCAACATCAACAAGAGAAGGAACATACAGCAGAAATTTAATCTTGATACTTAAGGCAAAACTATTCACTACAAATCCTTACTGCTATGGATTAACAAGGTATAAATATAGGTAGAGGACAGAAGTGATTACAACATACTCCCTTCAACAGAAAAATTACTTTCCAGAGAACCAAGTTACAATATTTATTATTTGGAAATCTCAGGATAAGGCACAGCAGCACCACTTCCCAGAAGAGTTTTAAGTAGTTTAATCTTGTAACCTAATCATAGTCCTCAAATTGTCACCTGCATAGGCACGCAAAGGTGGGTCAGTATGCAAGCAGGAAACCTTTTTCTCTTTCTGCCTCTCAGGGAGAGAAATTGATGGAGCTGAGCTCCTTCAGCTGCTCTGGATAAAAGTGGAATGACCCCTGCACATCGTATTGAAGAGAGTTCAACTCAGCATCTTTAGCATGTGTAAGATTCACTTACAGCAAAGAATAACTGCATTATCTGCTTAAATATTAATAAAATATGATTTCCTATCATAATTTAGGAGCTCTGTTACTCCTCACTGCTAAAACCAACATGCAATCACCTCCTTTGTTTTGTTTGTGGTTATGGAGACACCTGTGTATCCAGAGGCCTTTGCAAACACCAGCTTGAACAGCAGATGAAACACCTAACAAGATACAGACAAAAGGCATCATTTATAGATTAAACTAATTTTTATGAACCCTGAGCTCCTGTTTGCATGCTATGAGTTTTAGAAGTTCTGTAGCCCACACTATCTGATTATTATACACTTTTTCTGTAATCTGTTCCCCAAGCAAGATCTCTCCTTATCACATCATTAGACCTGCCAGATTCAATAGAGGATGTCTGCATTGTGCCTGTAGAGCTGAGCTCTCCTAAGCCTTTATTGCAGCTTTGCCTCAGAATGGCCTGCAAGGTACAGGGGTGCTGCTGAGCCAAGCCAAAGTGCAAGGGAAACCAAGCAATATATTCAGGAATGTATGGGAAGTATTCAGTAGCACAGCAAATCTAGTTTGTGTCTTGAATTCTAGATAGGGTCTTACCCGTGGAATTTGCTTTTTATTCTCTGATTTTCTGTCTGGTGAAATACTGAGTAATCACTTTATTTCTCTCTTTAGGGAAAAAAAACAAAAACAAAAACAAAAACAAATAAAAACAAAAAACAACAACAACCAAAAAACAAACAAAACAAAAAAAAACACCAAAAACCAAAACCCTGAAAAACCTCAATAAAAACTACCTCTGTGCTTGCAACACATGCGGAATGCAATAAAGACTAAATTTAATTCATTTCCAAAATAATAGTGGTTTATGCTATTTTAGGAAATATACAAAATTAAGGACAGAAAAAGGTATTATTTGACAAAAAATACTTCTCCCAGTTTTCACAGCTTTTCACTTTCATATAAATTTGGCTCCCAGTACTGTTTAAAGCCTATGTTATAAACTGGCTCTCTTCTGTTAAGAAAATAACTGAATTTCACACCTTATGCACCATCATATCAAAGTGAACCAAACTAGAAATTAAAAAAAAAAATTAATTGAATTACTGTCCTATTAGTGTTTGGGAGTCTCTGTCTTTCCAATTTCCTTTAATGAAGTGGCATAGATCAGATCAGACATAAACCCATTATTTCTTTTAAGTCACAGAACAACAACCTACCTCCTACCTTCCACTTAAGCAGAGGCTCAGCAATGTCTTTGTGGTATGGTAAACAGACCTGAAATACAAAAGCTGAAATGTGATTGTGTCACATAAGCAGTGAGCATGAAGACAAATGTGGCTCTCTATGACAGAACTATTGAAAGAGGGAAAATAAATTTTGTCTATTCCATAGGACTCCTTTGTCTTATCCAACCTGTGAGTGGCTCTGCTGAGGGAAGTCTCATCTTTGTGCCACTGCTGATAGCTCCCATTCAGTGACCACAGTACCACTGGGAGAGAGCACCTCAGTAGGCCTGGTGGTAGGAATTAAGAATTAACATTAGTGTGGTTTTACTCAGTTTGGGGGTGCAGAATTAGAAAAACAGGCTCACAACCATAAAAATGTCACTCATGTTGCTGCCTGGCAGCTGTACTCATTTACTTGATCTCGTTGCTTTTTGGCAATAGACTCCTCATGCTACAACTTTCCTTTTTCCTTTTGGGACTTTCATGGCAGGCCAGTATTTTCCCCTGGCATTGACATTTTACTACCAATCCATTATCCATTACCTTCCTGGCACGTGCAGACTTCAGAAAAACCTTGTCTGGGATTTGGCACTCTACCCAGTGCCTGATAAATGCTATAAACTTTATTTCTTCTCTTGTGGTGCAAATTGGAAAAATATGGCATGCAGTTATGCAAGCATGACACTGTCCTCAGCTAAGGCTGCTTTTCAACACAAAATCCTCCAGACAGAACTGAAATAATTTAGTGTCTCTAAAAGCAGGGCTAAAATAAAGGGGGAAAAAGAAAAAGTGGCAGTTTTCCTGGAAATGTTTGATTCCCTGAGCACACAAAAAAGTTTATATTTTGAAAATAAAACTTCTCATTATAAAAACTTTGAAACTCTGCCTTTAAACCAGTAATGTGTCATCCATTTCTGAGCGGACTGAACTTCAAAACCAAAGAGATTCCTTTGAAGACAAAAACCTTGCTGCAACTTTGTCTTGAGTACAGAAAAGTAAAAGAAACAAAGGTTAAAAGATGAAAGAAAAGGAAATCTGGACTACAATAGCAGTATTGCTGTCATCATCTGACTAGATATGAGATGTCCTCATTGTAGAACATATTTTATTCCCATTAGTTTGCACATAAGGTTGTTCTGGATACCAACTAACAACCATATTTGTCCATAACAGCAGATAAAAAAATGAAATTAATTGCAATTACAAGACCTCTACTTAAAGGAAAAAAAATCCTAATGAATAGGCTGAAAAATCTCCCTGATGTTAATAAAAAGTGTGAAAATGTTACTGTTTAAGTATTTTGAAAACTGCATCTTGCATTTTAAGTATTCTTTCCTGTAATACATGTGTCACGTTCTCTTTCCTTCCCAATTACCATATTCTGTTGCTTTATGAAGTTATACTGAAGAAAATAGCATGAAATAGTCCCAGGTTAGCCACCCACTGTGATTAAAACAGTTACCAGTAAACTAACAACAGTGCATCTGTGAAGAAGGCTGTGAAAAAGCCACCCCCTCAGACTTAAAAATTGCATTCATGTTAGAAGGTTTGCAGCGCAGGTACTCTGGAGAACAAATAGTCTTGTTTCCTGTGATCCAAAATTGGTGCATTTGTCTAACATTGCATATGGTTGCTATGTCATCAAATAGCTGAAATTCTCAAATTTCAAATACTTGAAAACCAAATACTACAAAATACTACCAAATACCAAATAATACCAATAATACCAAAACCAACCATGAAAACACTGAACAGTACTGAGCAGCTAATGAAGAAACCCCTGTGCAGGTTCTATCTTTGTCTCACCTTCTCTCCATTATCATAGCAAGTCCAGCTTGTCCTGTGAGCTAAATAATTTCACAGCTTCAGGATTACATTCAGAAGGTCTGGGAGGACCAGAAAGATGGCCCTAATGAAACACTGGATCAACTGATGTTGCTGGTGTGAATCACTCCAACAGATTTTGTAATCATTTGTTCTTTGGAGTCCCTAGGATGCTCTGTGAGTAAAGTGAGAAAGTACAGTCACTAATGAGACCTGCATAAAAAGACTTGGGATGTAAACAGATTTAGGAGAGGTTTTGCTTCTTATTTTACACAGAAATTCAGTGGTTCAGTGCTCACCCAACACTTTCTGTCACTCCTCAGCCCGGACAAAAACAGTCATTGAATGATGGCAGGAGACAGACATGTACAGACAGAAACACACACACCATCAAATATAAGAAAGTGGTTCTTTAGTTTCATAACCATAACACTTAATAATGTCAAGGAAAAGAGAGGTTTAAGTGACTCCTGAAATTAACATTTGTTTCTGCAAAATCTAGCAATTCCAAGCTGAGAGACTGGGAAATAATGCTCCTAGACTGCCCACTTTTCCTGACATTCTTTAAGACATGAGAAAAATAACTTTAAAACCTTCTAAGCCATTCTAAGTCAAACAGAAGGTAATTGAAACAACATCGCTTTTATTCTAGAAAATATCTCCAATGCTGAACTTTTGTGGAAAAAAAATCTGTTCACCCAAGTGCATAGCTCCAAAGCTCTGTAATAGATTTGCATTTCCTTCAAAATCAACAGCTACATGTCAAGCAACCAGGGTGCAGAAATTTCTTCTTACTTCCAGGGTTGCTACTAGACTACATCCTTTCAACTCAGTGGTTGATACAAATATCATTCTGAGGCACTTTACTTCATCTGGGATGCTATTTTTCTTAAGAAAATAACAAAAACATATAAAAAGGAATATTTTTATAAAAAATATTGTACCCTAAGATAAATGCTGCACAGGCAAGAGCTTAGCAAGATTCTTAGGGAGATGGATGCTCCCTTTTGAAGTATTCTACTTCGCTCCTGAACACTGATACACTCATTTTGTATTTCTAACATCCTGAGCAGGGAATCTTCCCTCTCTCCAAGCATGGATATGCATCAATGCCCTGATCATCAGCAGAGCTCTAACTGCTCTGGAATGCTGTAGCATGGCACATGCTCTGTGATTTGGAGCATGCTACCTCTCCTCCTAAAACGTGGGGTTATGCCTATCTGGTTACATACTAACTCACAAGATGTTTAACTTTCTGCTAAGTTATGTGACTTCTTTGGTCACTCTATGGATATCTCATGATCTATGACAGTTATAGTGGCAGAGTGTGAGTGGTTTTGCATATTATTTGAGCAAAAATATTTGATTGCAAAGCTAAAAAATATACAGCATTAGCAGACTTTAGGGAAAAAACATCACCATAACACACAAACCAGTATACTAATCCTATTTCCGAGATTTATTGGAGAAAATAACAGGGAAGTGAATACCAGGCAGGTGGATCATTTGTCTGGGATTAAAAGCAAGATAGTAAATTCACAGCTTAGTAAATCATCCAAGTAGCTGCCAAACATTCTGGCATAAGAGATTGGAATTTCTAAGTAAAACTAAAAAGAGTCACGCCATTAAAAAGCAAGAATAAATCAGGAATGGGTTATCCTAAAACAGCCAGCTTAGACTCTCTGGCACAACACATTCAAATGCTCTCACTGATTCAGCCACTCCAAATACTCATAGGGGGAATAAATTCAGTGTTGTGAATTCAATTATGACTAAATCTTGCAGAATTACAGCATCATTTAAAAAAAAAAGTTAACAAGATAAATATATTTTGTAAATTTTTACATGATTATTATCAGTCCAGTGACAAGTTTTTAAACAATAATGATTTGTTTGCTACTGTCTAGCATCTTTATCATTATACTGCCACCTCTTCTCATTCCCAGAAGTGTCTACTTTTGAAAAGTGTCTTATTTCTATGAAGTGAAGTATTCTGGATGAAACTGCAATTGAAAGAAAAATACTGTCATTGTAACAAAACTTACCAGTCTGAACAAGATTTTCATATGGAAATTTACAGGGAACATCGCAAAAGTGAGAAAATCAGAAATAACTGAAAATGAGAATATCCAGAAAGAAGAGCTACATGTGTAGGAAAGAAGTGTCGCAGACATTTTTTCATAGAAATCCTTTCTTTGGAACTTGTTCATCTTCTGGGAAGCTGAGGCCCCAGAAAGAGAATGTAAACAATGATTATCAGCTGCTGTGAATGCAATAGGATGCACCTGTGATTGGTTCATGTTCCATGTGTACAATTAAGGGCCAATCACAGGGCAAGCTCTCTGGAACACAGTGACAGAGAACTCTCTTGTTTTTAGATTCTTTTCTATTCTATTCTTAGCTTAGCAGCCTCTGCAACTTCTCTCCATATTCTTTTTAGTATAGTTATAATATATTATATATCATATATCAATAAATCCAGCCTTCTGATCATCAAACAAGTTTCTCATCCTTCTCTCACCCTGGAGACCTCATCAGGTCGCGGTAATAAAGAAGAATAAGAGAAAATCACAAGTAATATCAGACATGAAGGTGAATAGATTAGATTTTTGTCACAGGATGTTCTCACTAAGATCTAGCTACAGTTACAATTCTCAACATTCAATTTATTCCCTTTTATGACAGGATTAGTTGTATAGCCATAGTAAACCAAAATTAAAGTTTTATTTTCCTTTCCATCTGAAACAAGTTGCAGGTCTAACCCTTTCAATCTTTCTTTTACATATTATCACCCATACAGTTTGGGACAAAACTGTGGAAGATTCTAAACTCATGACTCAAAATAGGACATCAAAGTGGACCAGGAAATGTAGGCTGGTAATAGAGGGACTCACTAAGGAAAGACAAATATACTGAAACTACTATTCTGTTTCCAAGAGCAGCATGTCACATTCATGATGTCAGCAGAAGAGCTAGAAGAGCTGCATACAGAATTTAGAAGGACAGCAGAAAGCAAAAGATTTGTTGAAGCAGTTTTCCCCTCCATAATTGTATAATGATATAAACTTAACAATTTATTCTGCTGATTATAAAGCCAGCCATATTGCATGTCACATACCTGCACATATTAGATATGTCAACTATAGCCTGGAAAATGCCACAGTCTAGAATTAACTGTTTTATTTAAATTGTTGTTCCATTACTTGTGTCTTTATTGAAGTTTTTGACTGATACGTTTTTTAGTGTACAAAAAAAGTGGACATTGTTTTTATTTTTCCCATGCTCAAAAGTCTGTTAAGCTGGCCTGTCCTGTTTGCTGATTAGACTCAACTATCTGCAAATCTAATCTTCATCTTCACATCATAGAAACCAAAGCAAGTGTCATTTTTTTTTTCCTGTGAATTGCCATAATGAACCAGAGTTACTCTCCAGAAGAGAATAACTCTTGTCAACTACTTAATAAGTGCCTCACTGATGGCTCAGTGGCCTTCCTGGTGCAGTGAAGCATGAGGACTTTCTTGGTGTGCATTTAGGATGGCCATATGTTGTGGTTTAACCAAGGTGACTCACCTGTGGTTTTGCCAACTGTGAGCAGTGTAAGGTCATCCTAAGTGAGTGCTAATAAAACATTACAACACCTCTCATTCACATGAATTCTCTACGCAACACATAGAATTTTGGAGAAGCAATTTCTCAATGTTTAATTTTTGGAAGAAATTATGCAGTTGTCTGTGTCGGTTTAGATCTATCTTATGGAAGATAGGACTAGGAGGGGTGGTAAAATCGTTGTGTTATACACATTTTGCCTCTCTAGTGTTAGAACTGGTGGGTGCAACCCTGCCTTGTGCCAGGTGCTAATAATTGTGCCAAACCAGACCTGCTTTTATGCCAGTGGACAGGAAATTGCTGTCAAAGGAACCTTTATAGTATTCTGTTTGCATAATGAGATCTCATAAACATCAAGGAATACACTTGAGCCTGAATAAACATGGTGAAGTCTTGTCTCCATTGGGATTTTTGCTACAGATATCAGAGGAGGCAGGATTTGAAACTGCTGTGTTTAAGACTGCTTTGCTTCAGAGGCTGTAATGCCTGCCCAGAGATTGTGAAATTATAGCAGGAATGCTAGGTTGAAAAATAACACTTGTTTTAGTGTGATGAGGAATCTTTTTGATTCAAAGGGGTATGTAATTCTGGGAGCCTTTTTTCACTGCCTGCAGCTAACCCTGCTCAAGCAAATGGCAGCCAACTTCCTCAGGACTCTGAGTACATCTCACTGGATCCCATAGCCTTATGGACATTCAGGTTGCCCAGGTGGTCATGTCCTGGATCTTTTCTTATCATGGGAGAGACATTGCTCCCCCATCCTGCCATCCATCCCCTTGAAAGGAGTGGGAAGAGAAGCTGCCATTGAAGACTCAGTTGAAAAAGCTGTTGAGTACCTCAGCCTTCTCCATTTTTACCAGTTTGCCAGTATCATTCATCAGGAGGGCACACCTTCTTTGACATTCTTCTACAAGTTTACATACCAGTAGAAGCCCTTCCTGCTACTCTTTGCCAAGTACATCACCATACATCAACTCTACACCCTTCCCAGGTCACCTGTCCTCTACTTGTGCATTTGCTTCTTTCCCTTCAGTCTGACCAGCAGTTCCCTCCTCTGCCATTCCGGTCTCTTGCCTTCCTTGCCCAATTTCTTGGTCCTGGGAATTGTGACAACTTGCACTTTATGGAAGGCATCCTTAAATATCTGCCAGCTCCAATTCACTCCCTTGTCCCTGAAGGCGATCTCTCAGGGGATCCAACTGGCATCTCCTTAAACAGCTAGAAGTTTACTTTCCTAAAGTTCAGGTGCCAAACTCTAATCCTTACCTGACTCATATTCTTTAGGACTGAAAACTCCACCAACTCCACCAGGCTGCATTCAATCTTGAAGTCCCTGATTTGCTCCCTTATGTTGCTGACCATCGGATCCAGCACTGCATCCCCTCTGGTAGAAGTCTCTTAGATTGCATGGAATTATTTTTCAATAATTTTTCTTCTACCTTCGAGAACTGTAAAAGATTAAATAAATGTAAGAATTCAAGAAAGGACATTTAAAGGCCAAATAAAAGGTCTGAAAGTTTGGGAAATATATTTTGTGCTGCAGCATGAATATTACTTTATGATAATACAAAAATATGTGCCAATTTTTTCTATAATTCAACTCAACATAATTCAGGAATATTTAAAAGTATTAGTACAATTTTTAATTTATACACATTCAGCCATAAAGAAAAAGCAGCTCATATATTTAACATATGTTTTCATATCATTCTGGAAGAAATATTCAAATGACTCTTTGCCAGATAAGCACTTTAATAGGAATACACCTTACAATTAGACATAAGCATGGTATTTTAAGTCTTTCAAGAAGAAGCTACACTCATCAGTTATCATAGATATAAAGAATATTACTGGCAGCAGTGGCATGTCCTAAGAGTCCTTGCTAAAGAATGAAATTTACACACTTTGATAAGCCACACTTGATGATTTGTCACTTAAATGCTAAAAAAAGTCAGCAAGACATAACTAAAAACAATTATTTCATTTAATTAGCAACCCTGGAGAGAGAAAGCTTACATCTATTTTCTTTAGCAGGATTATTTTTAAAAGGTGAGCATGGATTGACAAAGACTTCCAGCAGTGAAACAACAGAATATCTTCTAGAAGAACAGCCAAGATGAACAAGGGGAATGGCAATTAATTTCTATTCTGATATGAGAGACATTACGGTCACGCACGCACACTTCCATTGATCCTTAAAACAACTCATCTAATCCCACACCAGCAATATTGAATCATTCAAATAATGCACTGATCTATCAAAAGCTTCAATGGACTATGTCATCTGAAACCTTGATTGAGTTGATGAAATTAACAGGGGGGAAAGAGGACATGCACATATCAGTGGCATGCAACAATCTAGAGAAATAACAGCTTTTCTGAGTCACAGAAAATGAACACCTAGTCCTGTATCTTCAACCCCTTATGCTAAGGCATAAGGGAGGTGTGAGTATGTAGAAACACTTCATTGGTACATCTGTCCAGTTCCTCAAGAGTTTCTCTAAGCCAGACAACCACTTCATTACAGAACAATCTTGCAGAGATATTTTCAGACTTCAGGCTAAATCGTCAGTCATACTGTGGATGCACATATTTTGGTTTACTTTCAGTTAACTTTGCAATATTTATTTTCAAATTATTTACACAGTTATAAAAACCACCACATTAGCTGGAAATCTGATTAAGCAAAGGATACCAGTATACCATGATCTGGTTGAAGGATCTGGGATTACTAAAATAACATCATTAAAACATGAATACAGGTGTTGGTATTATGGGTGGATACAAGGTGAAGCCCAAATGTCCTAGCTTTTTTTAGGTTCAGTAAACTTGCAGAAGATCACATTCTTACCTGAACACTGATTTAGTGTTTGAGCTTACTCTTTAATTCCGCTCCCATTACTTTCATGGAAGTTCACTTTTTATTTCCCTGCACTGTTTTTTTACATTATTTTCTCCCTCTAATGTAAAACCGTAGTTTTACATTAGAGGGAGAAAATAATGTAGTATTACATTATTAGTCATGTTATTGATATTTTTCCAGGGCAGACCAAGAAGTGGCAAAGGTTAATGCCCCATTATGCTGGGCATAGTGAAAAAACATGCACAGCTCCTGAGCTTGCAGGCTTCTCTGTTGTAATGGAATACAATTCAAGCAACAGAAAAATGCAGAAAGCACTTACAAGAACATGAGTCACAACAAAGATCTGCCTAGTTCATATTTTGCTCCTGACAGTGATCGAATGTGGAGGTCCAGGAAGAGCAGAACAGAGCAAGCACACACAATACTTCCCATGAGTTTTCTTCCAGCCCTTAATCACGGATGTCACAGTTCCCATGTTTCTAAATACTCTGATTACTGTACAAAGAGAACAAAGATAAATTCAAAATCCCAATGTTTTCAAATTAACAAGCTAAAATTTAGTCTTGTGAACATTTATATTGATCCTCAAAAGCATTTCCTTATACTTCATCAAAGCCTTTGGAAAACATTGATTCAAAGTATCAACTCAGGTTTTTCTGAACAGAATTGCATTGCAGTCATTGTTGACATAGGAATGTAATATCACAGGTTATTCAGACTAAATTTCAGGTGTTGATTAATGAAATTATTCATAGAGTCATAGGATGTTTTGGCTTTGTCATAGGCCTTGTAAAGCTCATCTAGTTCAACCCCTGTGCAGTGAGCAGGGACATTGTCAACTAGACCAGAGCCCAAAGCCATGGACAGCCTGATCTTGAGTGTTTCCAGGGACCCTCCTACATTTTGGCATAAAGTCATGCCCCCAGGTCCTCTCACTACATGCTCTTGTAAAATGTCGATTTCCAGCTCTCTTCTACACCCCTTTAGGTACCTGAAAGTGCTCTAAGGTCACTCTGGCTGAACAACCCCAGCTCCCTCAGCCTGTCTCCATGGCAGAGGTGTTCCAAACCCCTAATGAATTCTTTTTTGTTTGTTTCTACAGGTCTTTCTCATATACACCCTTAGGAAATTGAATTTATTTAGACAACTTTTTCAAAACTATTTAAAGGTCTTAAGTACCTCAATTACAATCTAAGTAATTGAGGTACTTCTGAAAGTCTTATTACGCAGAAGAGACAATAACTTGCAAATTATGAGCGTTTTTAGATAAGAGTAGCTGGACCTCGAGGCAGCACAGAAAATATATAACATTTTTGACAACTCTAAAGGCAATCAGAAAAAGTCACCACTATACAACTTCAGTGTTCAGATATATTTTATAGTTTTTCAATCTGAACATGCTTAAAGAACTTCAAAGAGTTCTTTTGTACCTTGATATAGACTAACAAAGTACCTTATCTGTGATTATCAGTCTGGCATCACTCATTTCAGATATTCCAGTAAGACCTGAAAATTGCAACAGAAAAAAATAGTTAGTGATAGAGCTTGTGGATGCATCTGAGACGTCATAGGTTTGTGCAGATTTGCAGAGGTACCCTATGGCATAGCAATTGATTTCCACATGTTCCTCAGTGTCCTCTACTGTTCATCAAGGCCTCAAGATAATACTGTCCATAGCTGGAAGTTAGAACAGATGTAGCATACTAATCTGGAAATAGCTGGTTTCTGATTATGAGTTTTAACAGGTTTCTTTTACACTCCTGAATTTAAATAATTATTAGATTGCAAGCCTTGGAATAGACCTTAGTTGAACATTGAGATCCAAACAACAGGGCAAGGATGTCAGAAATTAAAACAGATATAAGCCATACTGCAAAAGAAAAAAAAAAACCCAGACATAAATAACACTTTTTCTTCTCAAAAATATAGCTTTTTTTTCTATTGCTGCTGGCAACCAGAGTACATATTCCCTTGCTCCCTTCAGAAACTCCCACTTCTCTGTTCTACACCTCAAGAGTATGGTAAATGGGTTGCAAACATCTCAGTACTCAGTTCAGCTGTAAAAACAGCCATTTAATTGACAAATGCAGAGGCTACTCAGTTTTAAATATGATCTTTTTGCTTCTAGGATGCAGATCCAAAGCTACTGCTCCTCTGTGCATGTGCACGTGTGAGTAAGTACACATGTAAGTGCCTGCTCACTGTCCAGTGAAGGAACGTGCATTGAACTGGCAAATGCAAAGAGGGTCCCTAATGAGGTAACTCCCCTGAGAAATAAATATACTGCCTCATAACTCAGCTCTCTCTCGGCAGATTGCTCCATAAATCTGCAGAAATCAGAGGAGCAGCATCACAAGACAACACCAGCAAGGAGAAAGGGCTGTTTTGTGGTCACACTCTGAAGCAGAGGAAAAGTGAGCTGTGTTAGATGTGAGCAGCTGTGAGGAGGCAGTAAGGTCAAGTAATCAGTGCCATTTCCATGGGCTCATTCTCCAGACTTCTCCACACTTTGCATAGGTTATTTCTGGTCTGATTTTTTCAGCCTTACACAGATGAATGCAATAATTTCTTATGAGAGCTTTGCATAAACTGAGATTCAAATATCATTGAAATTGATGTCTGCCAAGAATAATATTTTACTGGTGCTAAAGGCTCTGATAACTTATATTTTTCAAACCATAATTTATATGCATCACAGACATATCTCAGAGAAAAATTAGGTTTTCTGTTTTAATCAGTATTAAATCAATGTTATAAACACAGAGATATTTATTACTTTCCTCTAAAAACTTATTTCTTTGGTATTTAAAATTTAGCCAAGGTATCTGGATTTACTTTGGAATGTTTAAAAATCACAAAAGTTATAAAATATTAAGAACTGACTTCCAAGTTATTGTTTGAAAGAAGAGACAACGTTACTGTGCAAGAAAGGCAAAGCATTTCTTATGAGCAACAGGCAATTGAGTTGTAGGTTAGTGCCAAATTGAAGCTTCAAAACCAATCAAAATCGTGCAAGTCTATAGTCTTGTAATCTCCTGCTTTATTGTCCATCATCCTATTTCTGTGCCTTGAAAGTTCCAAGACACCTAGTTTATTTGGCATTATTTCCTCAGGCACAAATCAAGATTTAGTCCAAACTTGTCAAAGCAGAAATTTTTAAGACAACAATTTTCCCCTACAGACATCCAGAATTATGAAAAATATACTCTAACTTTTCACTAATGACAGTTGGGAAAAATGCAGTGTTGTTTCTGCCATAGTTTGCTCTGCTGTCAAACATTGTCTGAGTACACTCCATACATATCCCCATGTGTGCTTCCTAAATAGCTTTGGAACTCACCGTCTGATTTCAGTGGAAGTGATACAAAAGGATATTGATCTCAAAGATTATTCTGTTTCCAGACATTCTGTAGAAATATAAAACTGAGGATTGAGATCAGATCCTGTAAGTTGGTGGCTGAAGAAAAGGCTGCAGTAGGAGATCACAATTTTCATGACACCTAAGAATCTGCATGCCAGCACTTACAAATATTCAGTTGTAAGAAAAGCCACAGGATTTTCATACCTTAACCATCAAGGCCAAACAACCACAAGACACCAGTCCATAGGAAATGGGGCTTCATTCATGCTGCAGCTCGACATGCCACTCTTTAGTTATATTACTTTTTCATTAATCCAACTTGGATTTATAGTCAGGAGGATGCTGGAGTCAGTATGTAAGAAATTCTAGCCTCCATTATTAACTCAACGACGTGCTGTGCTTTTGTCTGAGATTTCTGATATCTGAGTTCCAGCCAAAGTGCCATGATAAATGAACACTGTAGCCAGTGTCTGCACAGTTCAGTCTCAGAACCCCTCATGCTTTGGATTCACTGTAGAGATTTTGTGTAATTATCCTGTGCAGAAGCATACCTCTCCTTCTACCAGCTAAGATCAGTGGGGATAAAATTTGTTTAAGCAAATTCAAGGTATGAAAAAAATCACTCATTTCCAGTGTTTCACATAGAGATTCACATACAGGTAAGAGAGAAGACCATTCTCCCCTCAGAATGGATGGAAAAAAAGAGCCACTTTGAAGGTATGTTTGTTGGAAGGAGCTGACTTCATAAGCAGAGGATGGTGAACACGTGAAATTATCACGTTTTACACAGTGTTGTGAACACAATGAGCTAACAGTGAGTTCTCAGCCAGCTACACTGAGCTGTGTGAAAATGCTGCACTAAGGTTGCTGGAATTTAATTGAACTTGCACAGGTGTCTCTGCCCAATCTTTCCCTGCCTTTTGTAGGCTAACACAACCAAAGGGAGCTCAGACCTGCCTCTATGTGCCAGTGCAGGCATGTCCTCCTGCACATATTTTTAGTGTGATTTTAGGCAAGCTGTAATCAGTAGAAAATGGGTGGGTCTAGTAAAAGGTTAGAACTTGTCTGGAATTTTTGGTCAAACATCAAGAAATTCTAATTCTTCAAAACACAGCCTTTTTGTGGAAGCATACTGATTTTGAAAGGGAAATCACAGAAGTATAATTCAGATTGAGGGGCAAGTGTATGGCAAAGGTGAAGACCTAAAAACCTAGATAATCGTGAAACCATTTAACAGCAGTTTTCATCTGGGGCTTAGGCTGCCAGGTTCAGAAATCTTTGCGTGGTAATCAGATATAGCAGAAATATAAAAGCCAAATGACAGCTAAGAAAGCAGTAAATGTAACTTTGGACTTTTGCAATACTTTAGTAGAACATCAAAATATGTGCAATAGCCCTGCTCAGGCAAGGTAGGGCTTGGAAACTCAGTTGAGAACTATCTGAACTCACATATCAACTTTACTACAAAGACACCTAAGGGTTTAGCAGTTTTTAAAGCTACTGCATCTCTGACCTCTGCTGCAAGAAACTGTTCATGAACAGTCATGAGCCCTTCCTCCATGACATATTCAAAGATCTTTGACTTTGCATGGGTTGCTGGATAATAGGAGTATTTTTCTATGGGCATGCTCACACAAAATACACATCTAACCTATTATCATCAGAACCTTATTCTTCACAATTATTCTATAAAAGTTATTAAAATCCCGCCACAAAAGCAACCAAACAAAAAAAAAAATTAAAGGATGTACATATGAAGTGCAAGGAAAAAATTGTTCTAAATTTATGAATTGCTCTAAATTTATTCATATCTTCCAACTCCCAATTACATCTTTTAGTAGTAGTTTCCTACCTAATATGCAATATTCCCCTAGTAATTATGTAATTGATATTTCAGTAAGGCTATCAATATTTAACTTGTATCAATGAGAAGATTGATTGAAAACAGATGTCATAGTTATAGCCCTAAATAAATCACAAAATAATTTTATCTAAGCCAGCTTTACACAACACTAGATAATGTCCAGTATTCTAGCGTGAGCTATTCAGTTCCTCTGTTGCTAAAGCACTGTGGTGTTCCCAGGAACTCATGCACAGCAATACACAAACAGATGAGAACCAGGATTTAAATGAAAAATTAACAAACAGGATTTTTAAACTTACTAAATGAAATAAATAAGAAAGGAACTCATTATATCCTTTGTTTCCTTATCAATCCTCAGATTTTTGTTAATATGCCTTAATATTTATTATTTTCATTCTGAAGTATTTTTAGATTGGCATGTTTCTACCTCTTGACTTTATTACCTCTTTCAATTGACCTGCAATATTAATTTAAGTTAATTTCATATTAACAAAGAGAGTAGAAATTAAAGGTAAGGCCTAATAGGCTAAAAAGTACATACAGATTCATTAGCAAGCTTCAGATTTCTGAACCCTAATTGTTATACAGTATCATATAATTTTAAAGACATTTAGGAAGGGAAATAATGTAGATTCAAATTCAGAATACAAATATGAAGCATGAAATGTCTAGGAATGGCCTGAACAATGTCAACAAGTACTAGCTTTTAATCAGAAAAAAAGCCTCCACATTTTGCATAGAGTTAAGCACAAGCCTAAAGACTTTACTGTAAAAACTGAATATAGTATAGAGATTTTTCAGGTATTTGTCAAAGATGAGAAAGTTAGTGCAGAAAGTTCCTATCCAAAATTGTCCTGGGAGGCTCAGTTTATTGACAAGATCAACCACTCTAAATGCACAGGTAGAGAAGCTCAGTGTTCTACAGATCTACTCCAGCCTGAATGCTCTTGCTGAATTGAGTTCTTAGGAGGTAAAAAAACAATCTTTGGTGCCTATTTTCAAATTTCTGCTCAAATGACCTAAAACAACACACAAATGTATTTTGGGAAAAAATACATCAAAGCACAAACATATCTCTGTGTGTGTACTAAAGTCTGGGTTGTTCCTTCATTGTAAAACTGATCCTATTTACAATGAGCATTTAAATAGTGTCCTTGAATTTCTAAGACAAATAATTTTCTTAAAATATGAGTCCACTCTTCAATAATGCCTTCATTTGGAAACCAAAATATTAACAAGAATAAGCAATGTAGGATGGTATAATGGTACTGACAGCATGGA